ATATGGCTGTTCAGAAATCTCAAAGTCTAGAAATCAATATCAAAGATGGACACTATTGAATAACCTTAAATTACTTTTACTTTGTTTATTTAAGTAAGTAAATGTTGGCTGTTTAATTTTGCTTGTTCAGGTGTTCAAGTTTGGCACACATTAAATGTTATCTATTTATATACAAATACAAGCCGTGGCCTCTTTGCTAATTCACAAAAAACAGCAGCTGCCATGTGGGACCAGCAGGATATTTTATTGCTTGGTGTATATTCATGCTCTTTGCATTTTGCTGGGTTATTGCATAGTAGGTAGATTTTTCTTGTGTGCATACATGTGGTTTTAAAATGCATTCCTGTGGTTTGACGTTACAGTAAAACCATTTTATTAAGCATAAAAACCATATAGATGCACACTCAGACTGAATGTCTTAGTTTGCACGTTTCTGCAAAATCATGTTTTTAATTACTTTTCCACAATCTCCATCTATGGGCTTAATTTAGTAAGCAGCAAGAGTGGTTCTCACATCCACTCAGAAAATTAGTGTACCAGCAGCGAGCCAAGAGTCTGCGGCACCTGGGCACAACGTTTTGGGGTTTTCTTGTGGGGGCAGTTAGCCCTCTGCTTGCCTCACCCCTCTTAATGACCACCAAACTTGCACTGCCATTTCCCCCACGAGTCCTACTAGACGTAGTTGGAAGGTATCTGAAAATATATACTTGTGGTTTATGTTCCAGTGATGACTACAGTGAGGGAAAAAAGTATTTGATCCCCTGCTGATTTTGAACATTTATCCACTGACAAAGAACTATTTTGACATGTGTTTTTCTGTTTTTTCTTTTTTTTTTCTTATTCTGTCTCTCACTGCTAAAATACACCTACCATTAAAATTATAGACTGATCCTTTCTTTGCCAGTAGGCAAACGTTCAAAATCAGCAGGGGATCAAACACTTTTTTCTCTTATTGTATCTTGAATATTTAACTATATTTCTATTGGTTGTCTGTGCAACATGGAAAACCTTGTCTCCAACATCTCTCTGCATTTCCAAATTACTGGAATATTGTATTAAAAGATATTATTTCATGGGGATAGGGTTCATTGGACTTCATTACACAGGGGATGGGGTGCATAATACTACATTACACAGACACTGTAATACAACATTACACTCAGAACAAACATAAAATAACTTGAAGATTTAGTTCAGACGTGTCCAAAAGGTAGATCCCCAGATGTTTTAACACTACAGCTTCCATGATGCTTTGTCATTGTAAAGACATTCTAAAGGCATGGAAAGCATTAAGGGAGTTGTAGTTCTACACCATCTGGGGATCTACTTTTTGGGAACCCCTGATTTAGGTAAACTATCAGGCCAGTCTCCAACTGGTCATTGACATTTTATATAAAACACACACAGGAGGGGTGGAGCCAGTGCCCAAGCGAGCTGGACCTGTATCTGTGCAGCTCATGGAGTTTACCCTGTTATACGCTGCTTTCTTCAATCACTAACTTACCTGCTCGGCTCCCTGGATACCAGAGATATTGGAGCTTTTATACAACTGACAACGCGATCAGCACCTTCAAAGATGGCGCCGGCTGGGGCCTACTCCACTCCATCGACGGATGACAACAGCCTCCAAGATATGCCCCCTGCTGCACCTCAGGTACGCTCTGCGCCTCAAGCATCTCAGGAGGAAGGTGGTTCTGCTCCCTCTACGAAAGCTGACATACAGGCGCTGAGGCAGGATATTAAAGCCATGTTTCAGGCAGATATGGTACTTGTCCGGGAGGAAGTTACTACACTAACTAGCCAAATTGAGGCGATGGAGGGAGTCATGGGAAGCACCAAATTGGCACAATCTGCCACAGATGCTGCTCTAGGTTCGTTACAGAAGAAATGTGCCAACCTGACAGCGCAACTGGCTAGCATTGAAGACAGAGCTAAACCACGCAATGTAAGAATACGTGGTGTTCTGGACTCTATCTCCAACGCTGAATTGCCCCAATACTGCTGGAGGTTTATTGCTACCCTACTGCCACCAAAACAGGCCAAACAGCTAGTGGTGGATGCCTGCTTTTGCCTCCCAAAGGCAGCCAAAGCACCCCAAGATGCACCTAATGATATTATTGCTCAAATTTGTAAGGGACTCTGATTGTGGGGCACTCCCAAAATACCCTTTGAGGGAGCACACTTGGTCTTTTATAGAGACATATCTAGAAATACACTTACATGGAGGAGGTCATTCCGTCCTGTTACACACTACTTCTACGAGAGCACTCCATCCCATACAACAGGGGCCCACACCGACTGATAGCGGACAAGAACGACAAGACATATCTACTGCTACACGTCTCCGAGGCACCAGCCTTCCTCCAGTCCCTTGGTCTACCAGCAGAGCCTATTCTGAAGGATGCATGACTATCTTGGACTCCTTTTGTGGGGACTACCGACTCTCCTACCTGATACCTAGGGCAGCTGATATCACCATCCTATATATTAATGTTTAGCTCTTTATAGTTTAGTTGTTATACACTATGTTTACCTTACACCCTGGCTCTGTAAGCTTATAGCTTGCACATTAGTTTAGCTATTAACTCCTCAAGTTACACTCGAACGTGCCATGTCACTCGAACCCCTGTACCCTTTATTACACGTTTGGCCTTAAGATCAGACCCTTTTTGACAATATACCCTCCTGGCCAGAGTCGGCCAAAGCTACAAGCTACTTGAAGCTTATCTATAGAAGATTATCCACACACCTGTGCCATATGCGCAACATGCAGTCACCAAAGTACTATGTATAGCCTGCAGTCCCCCCAATTCTCTGCTACAATTCTTCTTATTTTGGCCAGCAGGTTTTTTTCAGTTAACATAAATTTTAAAGAAAAGGTCAATACTATACTTGTGATATTGTGATTGTTGTATTACTCCCTTAGCATTGATATTCTCACTTTACACATGTGACGTACTGTGATTTCCACGCTGACCCCCCCAAAAAAGAAAAACACACACAGTGTAGCACTAGCTTATTTAACTTTAGAATACCGTTAGTAATAACCCTCCGATCCCTAAACTGCTTCCTTTAGCGACCCAAAATTCATATTTCATGACCCTTAACTTCCAATTCCTACGGAAATCTTCTCAATAATTTATCCATAGCCCTTAGCAGTGTAAACATTATCTTATCTCTCCTTTCCAGACCCTTGTTTATACACTTTTTTTGCTGTTGTGGTGAGGCTATGTGCGGAGAGATACATAGACAGCCATTTTCCTATCACTCCCCTTGTTTTTAGACTCACCATCTGCATCCTAAGAACATCGATAGGGTTAATCCCTAAAGTAGTAATTGCTAGGAATTCAAAGTGAATATAAGGTGAATTTAAAAGGTCAAAATAGCTGACTTGGAAACATAGCTGAATTAAAGATTTCTCAATTCTGCTATTTTGACTTTTATATGAAATTCACTTTAAATTCACTTGAAATTACTGACCATTACAATTCTCCCTTTAGTGAATAGCCCTGTTAGAGTAGCACTGATGTTAGAGGTGGTGGAGTCTGGGCATCCTCCCGTCTTCTAATACAAGGTCTACATTGCTTGCCATGTACATACAGGGCCGGCCTTAGGGGTGTGCGAGCTGTGCGACCGCACAGGGCGCCATGGAACAGGGGGCGCCCTGTGGCCGACACACCTCACTCATGGCCGGAGTGCAGGGGAGCTAAAAGAGGTACCTGGCTGGAGGATTAATTATTCTCCACCCGGGTCTATTTAAAAAAAAAAAAAATCGCGGCAGAGGGGGCGGGGTTTACCGAGCGGCGGAGGCGGGGCTTATCGAGAGGCGGAGACGGGGCTAATACCTCCCGAAGCGCCTGCTGTACAGGAAGAGGGAAAGATGCTTCCCCATCAGCCAACTGCATCCACTGGAAAGAGGTAAGTGTGTGTGTGTGACTGTTTGCCTGTTTGTGTGACTGTCTGTGTGTGTGTGTGACTGTCTGTGTGACTGCCTGCCTGTATGCGTGTGACTGTCTGTGTGTGTGTGTGTGTGACTGTCTGTGTGACTGCCTGTCCTTGTGTGTGTGTGTGTGTGTGACTGTCTGTCTCTGTGTGTGTGTGTGACTGTCTCTGTGTGTGACTGCCTGCCTGTGTGTGACTGTCTGTGTGTGTGACTGTCTGTCTGTGTGACTGCCCATGTATGTGACTGCCCATGTATGTGACTGCCTGTGTGTGTGACTGTCTGTCTGTGTGACTGTCTGTCTGTGTGACTGTCTGTCTGTGTGACTGCCCGTGTGTGTGACTGCCTGTGTGTGTGAGACTGTCTGTCTGTGTGACTGTCTGTCTGTGTGACTGTCTGTGTGTGTGACTGCCTGTGTGTGTGACTGCCTGTATGTGACTGCCTGCCTGCCTGTGTCTGTCTGTAACTATCTGTCTGTGTGTGACTGCCTGCCTGTGTGTGTGACTTTCTATCTGTGTGACTGCCTGCCTGTGTGTGTATAACTGTCTATGTGTGTGTTACTGTGTGTCTGTCTGTGTGTGTGACTGCCTATGTGACTGTCTGTCTGTGTGTGTGACTGCCTATGTGACTGTCTGTCTGTGTGTGTCGCTGTAGCTGTGCCATTGTTTGTGCCTGTGCCTGTATGTGTGACTGCCTTTAACTGAGTGTGTGTGTACATGCCTGTAACCGAGTTTAAATTTCCCCACCCCTTCCTGTCAAGGCCGCACTTTGACTGACAGACGCTCACTCACTGACAGACGCACACTCACTGACAGACACACACTCTCATATACACTGACAAACAATGACATACACACATACACTATTACTTGGACACACACTGACAGATGCACACTCTCACTGACAGGCGCAAGCACTCACTGAAAGATGCACGACTCCACTGACCGACACATACACACTGACTGACACACACTCACTGACCGACACACACTCACTGACCGACACATACACACTCACTGACCTACACACTCACTGACCTACACACTCACTGACCGACACACACTCACTGACGACACATACACACTCACTGACGACACATACACACTCACTGACTGACACATACACACTCACTGACGACACATACACACTCACTGACTGACACATACACACTCACTGACTGACACATACACACTCACTGACCAACACACACATTCACTCACAGACACACACACATTCACTTACAGACACACACAATTACACACTTACAGACACACACAATTACACACTTACAGACACACACACACACACATTCACTTCAAAATAAACACTCACAGACACACACACAGACATTTCCACTAACACTCACAAACTAATATTTTTTACATTTATTTTAAATCCACCCAGCCTCCCTGGGAAAGCTGGAGTGGATTTCTTACCAGCAGTCCAGTGTGGCTGCTGGGCAGGCAGGCAGGGGGCGCACAGGCTGAGTAAGCAGCGCTTAGTGATGCCGGGAGCCGGACTGGCGTCATATTCTGGCTCCCGGCTTCATTAAGCGGCGCAGAGGAAGCTGAGCAGGAAGAGCTCAGGTGAGTATGCTCCTTCGCTGCCCGCTGCCAGCCTTGGGGGGGCTCAAAAGTGGCCAGCCGGTCAGCTCTTGAGCCCCCCAGGATGCGAGGCAAGCAGGGGATCTGCCTGGGGGTTTGGAGGGATGCTTTTTTTTGCCGCCCCCTGCAAAGTGGCGCCCAAGGCAGATGCCTTGTTTGCCTCGTGATACACACGTCCCCGGTGCCTGTGTGTGTTACTGTATTCAGGCAACTTGGTGGGAGGTGGGGGGGGCGCCGTGAAGACTTTTTGCACAGGGCGCCTAATTGCCTAAGGCCGGCCCTGTGTACATATATGGACTAATGTCAGGAGAATAGAAGTACATAGGCTATAGAGACGCTCTATTATTTGGCCAGAGCGTCTAATAATTTAACGGTGCTTCTACTCTTATTATCCTGTAGCGCTACTAGAGGCCAGTCCTGGTATTACTAATCTGTACTGATGAATTCAAACTTGGTAGCTACCTTTGCGTTTTTTTTCACTAGTTAAGGCACCAGGGTGCTATGCAACCCAACACTCTGAGGTCAGTTTGGTATCTGTTGGTAGACTGCTAGGTACGTTGAACAAAACTTTGTTTTCTCTCTCACGTAAAAATGATAAAATCCTTGAGGTCTGAGTCACGGTATTAGACGAACGGAGCTGCAAGGATATGTACAGAGTAAAACCATCAGGTCAGGAGGACAATAGACTTATTTTGATGCAGTTAATGTTGATACCAATCCGCTTGTTACAAACTTATCCTTAGCAAAGCAAGGAAGTCGGTGGTTGTAGCTGCTTGCATTGGTTTCCTGTTCTAACATGTGAAGTGGAGATATAAATAGGTGCAAGGGTTAGCTGTGTTGCATCTGATTGTCTTCTACAATGGAAAAAAATGCAAACTGAATGTAATCGTGTGCCATGTGCTAGTTTCTTAACTCAAGGAAACGTACCTTACATTGAACTGTCCCTAACCAGTTGCAAAACCTGTAATGCCAAAGAGTAAGGACATAAACCTGATTTAAAAATAATTGATTCCGAAAGATTCCAGGTATAGCTCAAGTCCTTTAACTAACTGTCCATGTTTAGACAGGTTCACGTCTAGATTTGCAGGAGTTGTGCTTCCAACCTAGAATTGTGTTGGCTGTTATTGCAGTCTGCAAAGAATCCCTGAACTCAGAATCCTTAGCATTCTTTATTCCTCTCTTTACTCTGGCTAGCAGCATGCAACCATGATGTTTGGAAACTTACAAAATTTGCTTTAGTTTGTTGAGGAAGAAGGAGGACCACCATTTATTAACCCTCTGTACAAGTGGAAAGGGACATTAATGGACATCGTGTAGAGAATTTTAGATTTTGAACAGTATGAAAACCAGCTATGGATTGACGGGTTAAAACCAGCAGGTTTTAGGAAGCAGACAATACTTATCCACATATATGGCTTAATTTTATTTTGCTGGCAAATTCAAAGTTAGCCTCTGGTATACGCTGAAGTACTTTGTTGTCATGCATGTTGAATGGTTTAAAAATCATGAAAGATTAAAGGATTCCACCAAGCACCATGTCTTGGTGATTTGATGTGGTCATGGTGCGTTCAGTTTTTCACTTAGTAACGCTGCTCATATGGAGAAACAAACTTTGCTCACAGAAGTGTAAGTCCATAACCAGCAATAGCAGCTTAGAACGAGAATTACGGGCCTCCTATGTCGATTCTGTGCAAGAAAGGTGTCTGTCATCCGCACACATAGCATGCAGACAACAGACAAGCAAAGGCAACACGTACGGCCCCATGTTGACCTCAGCCCTGCCCTCAGCCCAGCGTTTGATGCTTTTTTTCTCTTTTATTAAAGGGGGGACACAAGCGTTAGTCCAGGGTTTATAAAAAAAAAAATGTTGTGGTTGGTACAATCCTTTAAATCAAATATCAAATCTGACTCACTCCGTTTCTACTTTACCTGGGCAGAACAGATCTTGTAACTACTTTCACCCTTTTTAAGAACAGAGTGGTTTCTTTAATTGTAACCAAACAATAGGCTCCAACTAGTAGCAGTGATAGTGATGATTAGTAGGAGATTTCATATATCTAATCCCACAGTAATCATTAGAATCTACGTAGAACAGACCTGCACAACTTTTCAGTAGGTAGGGACCAAAATAGGCTAAGCTCTTAAGGCCACAGATAGGTTTTTAGTGCCTCACTTTCCAGGTAGATGTATAAGTGATGATTAAACTATTTTTCAAACTAACCATATTATAAAAATTACTTTGCTAAGCTGTACAAGTTTGAATTAATTTTTCAAGTTTTCTTACCGTTAATGGGACGTATTACACTTATTATTAGCAATCAGTTTTTCATACTCTGGAATCACGTTTGAAATCAATTTTTTTTTAAATATCTTCCCCTTTGTGTCTTTTTGTCTCCCTCCCCATCCCATGTCTGTCTCTTTTGCCCCTTCCCTAGCCCCTGTCTATATATTTTGCAACTTCCCCAACCCATCGGTTTCTTTGTCCCTCCAGCCCATCTGTTTGTCTCTTTCTCCCCCAGCTCCTTTAGTACCTCTGTTTCTTTCCTTCTCAGCCCCAGCACCTTGTCTTTTTCTCTCCAAGCAATGGCTGCACACGTACATTAGACCTCCCCATAGGAAAGCATTATTCAATGCTTTCCTATGGGGATTTCGATGACGCTGGAGGTCCTCACATAGTGTGAGGACGTCCAGCATTGCTTAAAACACTTTTCGTGTTCTAAGAACACGGAAGTCCCTCTAGTAGAGTACTTAACCCTGCAAGGTAATTATTGCAGTTTATGAAAACTGCAGTAATTACACTTGCAGGGTTAAGGGTAGTTGCCACCCAGATCACTCCAATGGGCAGAAGCAGTCTGGGTGCCTGGAGTGTCCCTTTAAGGTAGCTCCAGCTTTGTTCTCATGTCCCGCATTAAGTTGTGCAGGTCTGGTGTATATAATTGTCATCAGGGCTGGCCTTAAACTTTTAGGCACCCTGTGCGAAACATCTTAGCAGCGCCCCCCCTCTCCCCTGTCATCCATGTATAGTGTGTTCATAGAAGTGTATTAATTGTATAGGGGATTTATTAAATTAATAATGATTTTAAAATAAATATTCGTTACACACACATACACACACAGAGTTACAGGCAAACAGTCACACACACACAAACACAGTTACAGGCAGACAATTACAAACACACGCAGGTACAGATGGACAGTCACGTACATACAGCCACATATACAGTGTCACACACACAGTGTTACATACAGATAGCCATACACACACAGGCAGACAGACAGTCACACACACACACACACAGGCAGACAGACACAGGCAGCCACACACACGCACACAGGCAGACAGCCATGCACACAGGCAGGCAGCCACACACACACACGCAGTCACACAAACACACAGGCAGACAGCCACACACACACAGGCAGACAGTCACACACACATGGTCCATTCTCATGCGCATGCTCGGGTCTGTGACCCGAGCATGCGTAGGGAACATGAGGAGTATGAAGACATCTCGCTCTCCTCTGCGCATGTGTCAATATGTTGGACCCGGAAGTGAACCCGGAAGTGATCGTAATGGAACGCTGTTTGCATTTCACTGCGGCGCCCTCAGGGGATCTTTCCTGGCGTTCCTAGAACACACATGGTCAGTAATTTGTCTGCTATTGCCTTATACTGATTACGAATGTTAATTTACCAGTGCTCATTATTGCATGTTTCAACTATCATTAACAACATGTAATGATGTACAGCTGTTATTTGTCTGTTAATCTTATACATTCACGTGTGTACTGTGTTTTAATTCATTGTTTAATTCACTTATATATACTCTGTTAGTTGGTGTATTTGTTAGCTTTATAAAGACCTTTTGGTTGAAACATTGCTGTGGTTCCATTAAAGTGCCTATTCTTTGAACCAAGGAATGCCTGGACCTTTATTTCTTTACACACACGCATACAGGCAGACTGTCACACACAGGCAAACAGTCAAACACAGACACAGGCAGACAGCCACACACACACACACGCAGACAGGCAGACAGTCACACACACACACACACACACCCAGGCAGTCACACACAGGCAGACAATCACACATAGTTACCTCTATTCATTATGGAGGTGGAAGTAGTGCAGCTCCTGGATTCTAGTTGTTGGGGAAGCAGGGACTCTTTCCTGCTTCCCATGCAGCAATTACCCACCACTTCTAGTCCCGCCCCACCGATCAATTAGGCCCTGCCGCACGCTAAGCCCCGCCCCCGCAGTAATGTTTATTTTGTTTTTTTAAATTCTAGGTGGAGAATAATGAAATCCTCCACCCGGGTAGCCATCAATGTGTAAACTGTGTTGACCACAGGGTGCCCGCAGCTCGCACACCCCTAAGACCGGCCCTGATTGTCATTCACTTGCACTGTATTATATACTCAACACCAGTGAAGTATTTTAACTGCAATATATTTATTTAAGAAGTGTCTACATTTAAAAAGCCTGATCTCCAACTCCCCTGGAAACAATCAAATGGCTTTCTCCTCCTGCAAAACGTGTGTGTGAAAGCCTCCCCCTCCCCCTCTTATAATATTGTGAAGCACTACGGAATCTGTTGGCACTATATAAATGACAATAATAATAATAATACAATAAATTGAATTCCAATGGCCCTTGCCATATATTGAAATAATGCCAATCTCAGCATCATCCAGCTCATACCTAACAACCACAACTGGATCATGGAGAAATGTATTAAATATTAATTTATTGTTTTAAGAGGCACGAATTGTCTTAGAAACCCATTGTACATGAACTGAAATAAAATTTGCTTAAAACAATCAACCACACTTTTCTTGCAAACTAAAATATTCTAAGCTGCTTTCTCAGGTTATAGCTTCTGCAAGAAAGTGGCACAGTAGGGCAGAATAAAGAAAAACAGGTGAAGAAAGAGACAGTGTCACACCATGGGAAAATAAATATGAAGACAGATAGGATGGTTTATTTACTTTGAAATCATATTATTATATACACTTAAGAATTCGCAGCTCTCTCTGCAGGTTAGTGGACATCAGGCTCAGTAAATTGTATCTTTACATGACTTTAGAGGTCCAACTTTACTATACTTTTTTATATTCTAGGCATTCGAGGTATCATTTTGTTATTATAGAATATTTATTATTAGTATAAACGTAGCAGAAGAGTTCAAGAAAAAAACACCAGTCAATGTAGTAATCATTTTAACAACTTGTTTACAATCATTGCTTGTGCATAATTTATTTTACAATCATTTCCTTAAATATGACACCATGTTCCATTTTCACAATTAAATGTTACATGCACTTGACAATGTTATAATTTAAAGGTTGATGATACAATTCTGAAATAAAGAAAATACATATATAGAAAGTAAAAGAAAACCTAAACAACAAGGTATAGTTATCCGCTACACCCAATAACTAAGAACAAACTTTAGTATGGGGTATAATGGACTACTATACCTTGTATCTAATAGGTTAATAACTTTAACATTGTTTACAGTGAAGGCTTGATTATTCTCAGGATGTAAGAGGTGTGTTGTGCGTGTACATTGATTCTGGCAAATTTAATTTAAAAAATCCACTTTAGAAACATGTCTGAAGAAAGAAGTTAAAAGAAGAGAGGTCTCTTACAAAAAGCGATTTATAAAAATATCTGTCACTTAAGCTAATCATATAGCAAGATGGACTGTGTATATGTATGTCAATACTCAGAAAATGTAATACCAAATTATTGATGGAAAAATTGTGTACATTAAATCAACTGATCATCATGAGTAAATCTGCCATATGGTGATGGGCACGTTTCCTTATCACTGAAAGATTGCTATACCATCTCTGATTATACAGAGGTATAGCTCATTAAAAGGGGATAAGAGATAAATATACTTGGTTATCAACTTCATTATGCATCGCAACGTTCAAGTGTTTCAATTCTTGTAATCTTTGACAATTGACTTGTAAAACTTGGTCGAGTTTGAAGAAAATCTCAAATTTGGTTTAGGCAAAGATGTTTTGCAACTACAGGATTTTGGTTTAAATTTTGCATATCTGTTTTCAATTTCCAACACAAGCTCCCTGTTTAAAGGAACACTATAGCGAGGGGAAAAAATAGCACTATAGTTTTACCCTACCTATTTTGGTGTCAGCTCCCTCCCCAGTGAAATTGTCAAAATTAATTCCACATTAGGAGGGCAGTGCACATGCGCGGCAAATCTCCACACTACTTCACTCAAGTTCTCTCTAGCGGTCTGGCTCTGTTCTCACAGGAGAAGCACCTCTAGTGGAAGTCAGGAAGACTACCAGTAGAGGTGTGCTTAACCCAGGGTTAAAATTACAGGACCACTGCACCCAGACCACTTCACTGAGATGACTTTACTGATCATTTCATAAATCAGCACATATGAGATTTAGGCTGCTCTTATTAATTCATGACAAGTGTAGTCTAGTCAGCTATTAATTTTTCACAAAAATATTCTTACATTTTTTTTTAAATGTGTGATACAATTCTTTCATAATCTCTCTATATTGTGGTGGTACAGATTACTCTTCTTTTACGTTACAAAAAAACCTCACTATATGCCACAATGACAAAGTTCCACCACAAATGGAAACATCATCAGTGCTAGGATACACAGGTTACTAATTATATATTTTTAAAAATCTATTTTTGGATTCTTTGAATTAGCCTAGATGTGTTACTAAGCTTGAAATAATTTTGCCCTTATGTAACCACATACCCTTATCTAGGTCAAACTTCTTCTCTGATAAAATGAGCTGAATACTTGAAAGTATTGCATTTTTATTTTATATTTGTGCATTCATTTGACTTTGACCAATTATTTGACCATCAGTTAAAGGGACACTCCAGGCACTCAGACCACTTCTGCCCCTTGGAGTGGTCTGGGTGCCAACTCCTACTACCCTTAACTCTGCAAGTGTAATTGTTGCAGTTTTTTGTAAACTGCAATAATTACCTTGCAGGGTTAAGTCCTCTTCTCGTGGCTGTCTATCAGATAGCCACTATAGGGACTTTTGTGTTCTTAGAACACGAAAAGTGTTTTAAGTGACACTGGACGTCCTCACACTATGTGAGGACCTCCAGCGTTGCCGAAATCCCCATAGGAAAGCATTGCGTAATGCTTTCCTATGGAGAGGTCTAATGCGCGTGTGGGGAGGAGAGTAGGCGGACCTGACCCAGCGCCGAGGGACATTGGCTCTGGACTCCGGTAAGTCACTGAAGGGGTTTTAACCCCTTCAGCAACTTGGGATGGGGGGTGGGAGAGAGGGGCACTGTAGGATCCTGCAGTGCCAGGAAAACTAATATGTTTTCCTGGCACTGGAGAGTCCCTTTAATAAAATTCCAACAGAAAAGCAATTCAATAAAGGCAGTGCTTATGAGGAAGGAGTGAAGAGGGTGGAGCTTATACAGATAAAATGGCACTGTACATTCATTTTCCGTAAAGCAAAAATAAATAGCTATATTAGTGAATTAATAAGTCCCACCGTAAACAATTTTGTATGAATGGAGACTAGGGTATAATACATTTCTGTCATTAAATATATCAGAAAAAAAAAGAACTTCACATACATTTTGTATGATTTACCTTAATTTAGAGGCTTGAAATTACTGTAAGGTTTAACAGTTTCCCCTCTTACCTTTTTGTCCGCGGGGTGCCAAGGGTCCAAATGTGGCCAAGTAATGACAGGTAACCTTTTTAAAATGTTCAGGATTATTTACTAACATTTAAATTGATGGTAATTCAAAGTGAATTTAAAATGTTAGGTGAAAATATTAGAAATAATTCTCCAAGTCAGCTTTGTTTTCATTCTGATTATTTTGGTCTAAAATTTGAAAATTCACTTTGAATTCCCAGCAGCTCAAATTTCAGATTAGTAACTTTTAAATTTAAAGTGGCACTCCGACGCCCAAATAAAAAAAATAAAAAATCACAAATAGTGTGTGTGTGTGTGTGCCTTATTTTTTTTTAGTAGATATACCCAAATAAGCACATGCATGTATTTTTTTCATTGGGAGTATGTCTAAAAACAGCTTTGAAAAGCTCAGTGAGAAGACTTTGCAAGGCAGGTGCTCTGGGCAATTACAGCCAGGGAGGGAGGGGTGGAGGGAGGGGGGGGGTGTAACAAGATTAATTTATAAAAGTACATCTTTCTATTGAAATCTGAACTTTTTGTAAAATTAAAAAATAGGACACACACTTCACGCATTACAGTAAGATAAAGTGCTTAGGGGTCCGGAGTGTCTTTTTAAGAACAAAGTAGTTGAACTTGACTTATAGCTGATTTTGAGAATTTTTCAAAGTTTAGCTATGTTGGCCTCCATTTTGAAATTCACTTTGAATTTGTGACGATTCTCATTTCAGTAAATAACCATGCCAATAGAAAATTGCATTTCTTCAGCTGATGAAAACTGTCCAATGAATGTTATACCATAGAGGTGTCCTTTAAAATGTGTTTTAGGTCTCACATGTTGCATTTTACTCTTTAGCTTATATACTATGTGTAATCTAGCTAATGGATGAGTTACATGTCACTCAGTACTGTATATAGGACATCGCCTTCAGGACAGGGAAAGAAAGTGTGGATTGTTAATACATGGATCAGAAGGGTACGAACAGTGAGACTATCCCTGGTGACACGCTGCACTGTGGTGTGCAGAGCTTCCTCTCCCCAGAACTTGACATTATCATTAGGCAGAGCGGGCACTTGCCTTCTCTGACTAATGATAAAATACAGCTCTCTGGGAGAGCGTGGCTCTACACACCAAATTGCAGCGTGTCACCAGGAATTGCACACTTTAATAGGGCATGTGTTGTGGTTAGTGTCTACTCCACTGAGGAAGCAGGGATCACACTCTCATTATGTGATGCCACCCCAATTCTGGCCACACTGCTGAGTAGCTTGGAGCTTGGGGTACAGTTTTACTGGCATTCCCAGTGACTTAAAGGGACACTATAGTCCCCAGAACAACTACAGCTTATTGTGTTTGTTCTGGTGAGTAGAATCATTACCTTCAGGCTTTTTGCTGTAAACGCTGTCTTTTCAGAGAAAATGCAGTGTTTACATTACAGCCTAGTGATAACTTCACTGGCCACTCCTCAGATAGCTTTTAGAGATCCTTCCTGGGTCATGGCTGCCTAAAATGCATCCAAACATTCAGTATCTCCTCCCTCTGCATGCAGACACTGAACTTTCCTCATAGAGATTCATTGATTCAATTAATTTCTATGAGGAGATGCTGATTGGCCAGGGCTGTGTTTGAATCATGCTGGCTCTGCCCCTGATCTGCCTCTTTGTCAGTCTCAGCCAATCCTATGGGAAGCACTGTGATTGGATCAGGCCACCACTTCTGATGATGTCAGCAG